GTGTGGTGTTCGCTGCTGTGGGAGGGGAAAGCCGCTCTGGCTGCCGGTGACCTTCAGTGTCGTCTTTCTATTTTTTAAATACCTTGTGCCAGCCTGGGCCGGAGGAATGCATTGCGGCTGCGGGGTTTTGTCCTCACGGGGGGGGAAGGCCGCCGATCGGTGCCTTGCTCGGGGCCGGAGCTGTGGCTTCGGGGTTGGTGCAAGGGCCCAAGGTGCACGGGGTCAGCGTGGTGGGTGCTAAAGGAAACCGGTGTCTGGAAGAAGACATGTCTGTCTGAGGCCCTTGTCGGGTAGCCTGGCTGGGGGGGTTGTCGCTAGCCCCCAGCGTTAGGGTTTGGTGCTGTGAGGGTCTGTGGGTGAGCCCCATATAGACCAAGCACGGGGCTGATTTCAGCCCTGGCATCAGGACCAGACTTTGGGTTTGTTGCTCTCCGGAGAGCCCTTGGCGGGGGCGGAAATAAAACACGGGGAAAAAAAATCTTCCTCTTTCCTCAAGGTCTGTGTCATTTTTACTCTGCTTTTTTTAAGCATTTATGGTCTCCCTGTCTGTGCCTTTGCATGTCCAGGCTGGGCAAGACCGAGAGAAGGCAGGGGTTGGGGGAAGGAAACTTTCTCTTGGTTTCATGCAAGCAGAGTGAGCGAGACCCTTTCAGTGCCCTGCTGCAGGGAGCTCAGCCCTCTTACTAGACATCAGAGAGTCTCATCTGGAGGCAGTGCTCTGTAGGAAGCCCTGTCCTTCTGCTGGGCCATGGTGGGATCCTGCCCGCCGGTGGCCCGACGTGGCTTTGGGTTGAGCAACGTTCCTGCTTTCCTTGTCTGGACTGTGTTCGTCCTCCCGCACCGTGGAACCGACGGGTCACCCGGGTCCCCTCTCCTGGCAGGCGCCTCGGGTCTTTGTCTCTCTTCCACTGCTGCTTTCTTTAGGTGAGGCCTTAAAAATCTCCTACTTCTGGAAAAAGAGGTCGTGTTAGGTGAGAGGGAAGGCATTAGATTTAATTATGCAATTATTATTGATGGGGTCTGTGCTGTGTCTGCTCCTCAGCTTCATTCATCAGGATGAGGGTGGTCGATTGGGAACGCGGCTGGGCTCTTTGCTCCTCTCCCAGGGCTAGGAATGTGCATTAATCCTGAAAATGCTCTAAAGTCACATTTCTGGAGGTGAGATAATTACTGAGGAGGCTGCGGGAGGTGGAGGGGACCTGGCTCCTCGGCTCATGGGATCGCTTACGGGGAAACTCTCCAGCTATTTTGCAGGGAGAGCTCGTGGCCCATGCTGAGACGCCGGCAGGGACGCATGGCCCGGCGAGGTGAGATAAGTCACACTGCCTCGGCCATCCCGGGCGAAGGGAATTTATTAAGAGGATTCGGGAGATCATCAGACGCTCGTTTGTGTGAATGGCAAACGAGAATTTATTAAGAGGGCAGATTAAAGGTACTTTGGAAAAAGAGCACAATCAATCGAAGGCAGCTGAGGAAGGAGGAGGGCGGGCAGCAGATAAGAGACTTCGAAATAAAATATTGGATAGTGGGAAGGTGTGGAGGGATTGGCAGGGAGAGCACGAGAGGTGGAAGGAGCTCTTTGCCACCGCAGCACGGCTGGCAGCGCTGGGCCTGGGGACCCCGAAGGGCACCCCAAAGCAAGCGGCAGCCTCCCCGACGCGAGCGCCCGCCGCCGGGGGGGACGCGCTCAGGAAGCGCGG